GAGGAGGATTGCAGTTCAAGGCCAGCCTGAGATCCCACCTCCAAAATAACCAGAGCAAAATGGACTGAAGGTGTGGCTCAAGCAGTAGAATGCCTGCTTTGCAAGCACAAAGCCCTGAGTTCAAACCTCAGTCCCACAAAAAGAAAACAAAAAAGGAAGGCTAGAAGGGGTAACAAAAGAGTAACATAGATTGGATAAATTTGATCAAAGTACATTAAATACATGTGTGTAAATATCACAATGAAACATCTTTGTATAATTAATTTATGCTAACAAAGTTTTTTTCAAATAGCACATACCCTAAAGAAAACGAAAAGGAATCTGTAGGTCATATCAAAGTATCCCCCCAAAAGCAAAAAACACCGAAGAATCACAGAAACAGAAGATACAAGATTCAGGAACAAAGGTCCACACACACTAAAACCCCCTATGCTTCCCATATGGAGCAAGCTTACTATAACTTAGGATGTAATTTTACCAAGTTTGGTTCTCCATATTTTTTGTTAATAAACAGGAGATCAGAAAGAGTAAATTGAAAAGGATCAGTATCCCACTGGTGGAGGTAAGCATACAGTCAATGTAAAAATCAAGAAGTACTATTAAAAAAACCCATAAGGAACAAACAAGAATTCAAAAAGCAATAGCAAGACTGGGTCGTTTAACTGAAAAACACATGGTCCTATAAACATTATTCTCTGACATATTTCTGCATTAAGAAACAGAGTAATTATTAATATAAAAATAATAATCCTGAGACACCTAGAAAATATAAAAATCAAGGTTTAAAAATTTAGGTTAAAAAGGAAATGTATGTGCTGGGTGTGTTGGCTCTGGGTAAACACAAGGCCCTGGGTTCCATCACCAGCACTATCAAAAAAGAAAAAAAGAAGTAAATATGTAACATTTAAAATAACTGCCAACAGCCAGGCATAATGTCACACACTATAATCACAATTATTTGAGAGGCAGAGATTGGGAGAATGGAGGTCAAGACTAGCCCAGGCAAAAGGTTAATGAGACCTTTTGTCAATGAACAAGGTGGGTGAGCATGGCAGCTTATTTCTGTAATCCCAGCTATGTGGGATGCATAGGTATAAGGATGGAGGTCCCAGGATGGCACAGGCAAAAAGCTAGAGACCCTATCTGAAAAAAACTAAAGGAAAAAGGGCTGGGGCATGGCTCAAGTGGTAGAGACCTTGACAAGCAAACACAAGACCCTGAGTTCAAGCCTCAGTGCTGCCAAAAAAATTAAATAAAGTATATGTCAACAGAAACAATTTGAATAAATATAGATTTGCTGCCATCAAGGCTAAGGTCACTTATACCTGTCCAATCCTTATCTTGTAACAGGTACAACACAGGTGTTTGGCTAATATGTTCTCATTACTGTTAAAAGGAATTCACAGGGTTGGCACAATGGCTCAGGCAGTAAGAGCACCTGCCTAGCAAGTGTGAGGCCCTGAGTTCAAACCCCAATGCCACCAAAAAAAAAAAAAAAAAAAGTAATTTGGACTGGGGGTGTGGCTCAAGTGGTAGACTGTCTGCTTTGCAAGCACGAAGCCCAGAGTTCAAACCCCAGGCCCACCAAAAAAAGATAAAAAAAAAAAAAAAAGAATTCACAGGTGTTTTAGCTGGCCTCTACTTTAAAAAGGAAATTGTACTAAAAACTAAGTGGAGAAGAGATTGAGCAGCAGAGCTAGGATCTAGAAGTCAGGTCTGTGTGACTTCAAAGCTTATGGTTTCTCCCCTAACAAAATTTCCTGATAATAGAAATGTAATTGATAATGCCAGATAAATAAGGCATTGCAGAAGATAATTATGCCACTCTGACCTCAATTAAACTATTGATTCCCATGTTGTAATTCCTGGGCATATGAAAGAAACTTCACTCTGGGAGTGGTGGTGCATACCTGTAATACAGCACTCAGGAGGATTCTGAGTGCTGGGCCAGCATAGGCTACATAGCAAGTCCTCGCCTCAAAAAAAGACAAACTTTGCTAGGCATCGGTGGCTCACACCTGAATTCCAAGCTACTCCAGAGGCAGAAACCAGGAGGATCACAGTTCAAAGTCAGCATGGCCAAACAGTTCACCAGACCCTACCTTGAAAAAACCCAATGCACAAAAAAAGGGGCTGGTGGAGTGCTTCAAGGCATAGGCTCTTAGTTTAAACCCCAGCACTACCAACCCCCACCCCCAAAAAAGACAAACTTCAAAGCTGCCACTTATCTTTCAAATATTTGAGAGTCCAACTTTCTACAATCTCATTTCCCATAAGGAAATCCATGAATTCTACTGAAAAGTGGTATTTCATAAAATTAGTGAAATGCTATCTTAAAAATTCTCTAGAAGTTTGACATGTTAAATGTGAGTTACCTTAAAGAATACTGTGCTCCATGCAGTATGCTATATATTTTATATAAATACTATTCATCTATGAATAGGATATCCCTATATTTAACTCTTAAGTGTTTATATATATTCATTTTGCAGAAACTTGTCCCACAGTTGGTTAGAGAAAGACTGAGATTTTAAAAAGTCCATTAGAGTTTCAGACCAGTGCTCATAACAACTTTCTCTACAGGGCCCTTTGTTTGAAACACGAAGACATAAAGGTTCAGAAGCTTTAAGTATTCCATTGTTACTTAATAATTAATAAGGATGGAGACAAATTGTCAAATTAAATTTTCTTTAGGGAACACTACCTATTCCCCCAAATAAGATAAATGTAATGTTAAAAAAAACAAAAGCTAGGGAGGGGTGAGGATAGGTAAGACACCTAAAAAACTAGCTAGCATCTGTTGCCCTTAACGCAGAGAAACTAAAGCAGATACCTTAAAAGCAGCTGCGGCCAATAGGAAAAGGGGACCAGGAACTAGAGAAAAGGTTAGATCAAAAAGAATTAACCTAGAAGGTAACACCCATGCACAGGAAATCAATGTGAGTTAATGCCCTGTATAGCTATCCTTATCTCAACCAGCAAAAACCATTGTTCCTTCCTATTATTGCTTATACTCTCTCTACAACAAAATTAGAAATAAGGGCAAAATAGTTTCTGCTGGGTATTGAAGGGGTGGGAGGGAGAGGGAGTGGGTGGAGTGGGTGGTAAGGGAGGGGTGGGGGCAGGGGGTGAAATGACCCAAGCCTTGTATGCACATATGAATAATAAAAGAAAAAAAAAAAGAAATAAGGGCAAAATAGTTTCTGCTGGGTATTGAGGGGGTGAGGGAGAGGGAGGGGGCGGAGTGGGTGGTAAGGGAGGGGGTGGGGGCAGGGGGGAGAAATGACCCAAGCCTTGTATGCACATATGAATAATAGAAGAAAAAATAAAAATAAAAATAAATGACATGAACAGCCAAAAAATAAATAAATAAAAATAAAAAAAAATAAAAAAACCCAAAAGCTCCAAGATACCACCAAAAGAGGGATTACATGTGCAAATTATATAAGATCCTACAACAATAACCGCTGACTTTTATTCAGTGCTCATTACATGTTACACAATAGAGCATTTTGCTTCATTATTGCATTTAATCCTCATGACAAATTTAAGATGCTAAAAGAAGTTAATAGTCTTAACTTTAAGCTAATACACTTGCAAATCTAGATTTTTCCCAAAGAGAGGGGTTTTAAGCTATTTTTAAGCAGTTTAACAAATAAGAATAGTTGTACCTCACTTGAAATTATACACACCAACATAACACATTAGCTTTAATCTATCGTTCAGCCTTAAAAATCATGTATCTCTGGGGGAGGGAAGGTATCAATACATCCATCAAGTACTGCAGAAGAAATGTAAAAGAAATTAGGTTTTACAATGTGCTAAATATTACATGAATCCAATGACATCATAATTTGTTAATTTCAAAGATATTCTACAATGCTACCATCCTATTCAGATTTACTTACAATACCAAATCATTCCTCATTTATACTAGCATTCAAAATCTGCAAACCACCAAAAATAGAAATGCTGAAAAGGGATGTTTTTAAACAGTAGTAAAAGAATCAACCATTTAAAATGCTCAATGAAAAATTATGTTTTCCTATGATAGTAATGGAATTCTGACTTTCTATAAGCTTGTTTTAAATGAATATTAATATTTCCATATTTTTCTTATCCTTCAAATAGATTAGTACGTGGAATTGACGGTACACATAACATGTAACATTTCAAAACTTGTGTATTAATTCATAAGGCTTGTATTTTAAACATGAGAAAATAAAATTTTAGATATAAAAAACAAAAAAAACCCTTTTTATCTTTCTTATTTTGTCAAAACCTAATCTCTACCCAAAAGATACAAGTGAGTTATAACAAAAAGAAGAAATTTGGTATCTTAACAAGTTGAAGATTAAACATATATGTGGAAATTACCACCTATTGCTACTTGGCTTAAATTAAAATCATGAACATGAAACAAAACAAAACAAAATGAACAAACAAACAAAAAAAACCCAGGAAACAAGAAAAATACTAGTTCAGGCAACCAAAACACATCATGACAACTTTTTAGTCCTTACAAAAAGAATTGCTAATGCATAAGCACACCGCTCTTACTCAAACTTGAAAAAGCAAATGGCATATTATTGAACAGGAAGAGAATAAGGGGGAAGAGCAAAAAATTTCAGCTATCAAGCTCAGTTTACACTAAGTATAACACTATTTTCCAAATGTAAGAATTATATATTTTTCTCATAAAGACCTTTGTTTCTAAGAATACAGTCCCATTCCTCTTATGGAAATGTTTTAACAACCTTGGGTAGGTCAAATGTTAAATATGGCTACGTCAATAAATTCAAAAGATGTGAACATAGGTTATTTCAGAATCACCCTATTACAGCAAAAATACATTCTGAGTTTTAGTTAAGTATGAAAGTTTTCATTTCCTTTGTGGATACTAATTTTTTCCTGCTTTTAGCAAATTGAATACCACGACTTACTAAATGATCATGTAATACCAAAACGATTATTTAAAAATTGAACTGCAAATGACCTACCCCTTCTTGTTTAGTGAAGAGATTAAGGCAATCACTCAGAGCTACACAAGTTTCTCTAGAAGCTTCAGCGACACCTTCAACTTTCTGAAGAAATGATGGAAGCATTTCTGTAAACAAAACAAATAAATACAAAGAGTGCAATTTTAATATTAAAGTAATATTAAGTAATATTTAAAAAGTAAACTAAGACCACAAAAACATTTTTATTGTTGTTTTGCTTTTTTGGTGAGACTAAGGTTGAACTCAGGGTTCACACTTGCAAAGCAGGCATGCTACCACTTGAGCCATACAGCCAGCCGCAAAAACCTTTTTATATCTACTAACTTCATGTTTTCCCTCTAGCCATCTTAAGCAGAGCACAGACAATAGTCTGTTTCTTGGGCATTGTTAAGTACCACTGTAATCAGGGCACATGAGTTGGTACAAAGGATGAAACCTTCTCCTAGAACAGCCCATACTCTACAATGGCAAGAGCTAATACTAAAAACAGTTTATAGGAATTAGTTAATTGTATAATGTTTAAAAAAAGCCATTGAGAAGCTGACAATAACATTTTCTTTCATGATATTCTATGCTAGATAAGTAATTTTATTTAAAAGCAAAGTGCTAAGAGTCAAAAATAATTCTGTAGTTGACACGGAGGCTAACATCTGAAGGCAGCATTAATTTAACTTCCTCCAGTTTCTTATTTGGACAAATGTTTGGCATAAATAGGTCTTTTCTCTTTCAAAAATGCATCCCTGTAGAGGCCCAGTACCCTTTAGTGTATGTTTATGTCAGAAACAAAGAAAAGGTGGTTATCAGTATCTTCCCTGGTCTGATAAAATCATTTACCCATTAAAAATATCAAAAAGGGTCTGCATTGTGGCACACACACGAAATCCCAGATGCATGGGAGACGAGTAGGAGGACTGCAGTCCCAGACTGGCCTTAGCAAAAGTGGGAGACCCTAACTGAAAAACTAAACTACAGCAAAAAGGGCTGGGAGCATGACTCTAGTGGTAGAAAGCTTGCCTGTGATGCACAAGGTCCTGAGTTCAAACTCCAGTACTGACAAAAAAATGAATAAACGAATGAATAAACAAAACCAGAACGCTGGTGAGAGAAAGCTACAAAATGCACAAGTGTCACTTAGAAACAAGTAAAATGCCATAACCAGTCCAGATTAACAAGAGAAATATACTTGGTTTGACTTTTTGTTAATTATATATTAAGATTCTTTAAATTTGTCCTTCCTATCAAATAAAAATCTTAACATTTAAGAATGCTTTTCATCAAAATATAACTGAAAAGGAGATGAACCTATAGCATTCTTGGTATTTAAAATAATCTTGACTTACTTAAAACAATGTTCTTATGATGGTAAAAAACTAAATCCAAATGTCAGTAATTTGCAAATATTAAGCCATAAAACACTGGGTCCCATCAAGATGCAAGGAGTGTGAGATAAGAAAGGGAATGATGGCATAAAGGGAAAATAAAGTACAAGACTATGTCACTCAACTGTTACACTGAATCTCAAAGAAAATCTACCAAGAACACATACCAAGTTATTTATAGTCATTGTTTCAAAGTGACAAAATTGTAAATATTAATCTTTAGTCCTTTTTTAATATTTCCAAATTTTCTATCTTAATGTGATTCATTTAAGCAAATAAAAGTTCTTTTTAGAAAAAACTATTTCTTAAAACTCATAGGGTAAAAGTGGGCAAAAAAGGAAAAAGTCCACCAGTAAATGAAGGAATCAACAATTTTTCCTTAATGTCAGGCTATGAAGACCAAATGATATTTCATCATATTTTTCAGCTTACGAAATGTAGTTTTCCAGGGTTAGCTATTCCTAATAAGCCCAAATAACTGAAAACTACTATATTCTAAAAATAATTTGACTTTAATAATTTATCTTTGAATTTTTAGACATACATTGTGAAAATTTATTCTCTACTTAGTTGCTAAATAGCAAAAGAAAGTACCATATGCTAGATGCTATATGACTTAAATAGTACCTCAACAGATGTCGCACAGAACTGTGGACTGAGTATTGTGAGGAGATGTACAAGAAAAACAGAAACAGCCTCTGTCTTCCATAAATTTTCTGGGTAATCTAGTAATTTTCCATTAGTCAAGAAGATGAAAGAATAATAACTTATGGAACTATTTCTTTTATTAAGACCAACACATGCTTAATTATCCTCAATGGAGACTGTGTTTTAGATAACTTATACTTTAGATACATGACTAACATAAAACCAACATTGTCCAAATACATTATCAGAAATACTTAAATGTGTTTAAGCAAAACTGAATCTTCAAGTTGTCAAAAGACATATGCAACACATACACCTTGTCCAAAACAGAATCAAAGTTATCTAATTTTAGGGTCTAGGGGTATAGCTCAGTAGTACACTGCATGCTTAAAAGAGGCCCTGGGTTCAGCCCCCAACATCACTCTCACACACTCACAAATTAAATAACGCACACTTTTTAATTTCTCTGGTAAACTAATGTTCAAACAAGGTCTTGAGAAAGTATTAACTTGCACTGTGGCATGGTTTAAGAATTGGTGAGCTTTGGCATATGCTACACTGTAGTGCATCACACCAGGACCATTCAATTCACACTGGCATGCTTCTTATGTAATGATGTTTACATACTGTTACATAAAAGAAACAAAACTGCTAAGTTTCTACAAAAGTGACCAACTGGGAATCACCGCAAATATGTTTTAGCCAGTTACTATTCAGGTACTAAACTTCCATGAATAAATGTAAAAAGGCTGATATGTTACTATAAGAAGAATCTTACTGTTAATTTTGAGGAAAAAAGTTATTATTTGTACTAAAAATATTTTTGAAGTCATGAAAGCAGCTAGAAGATCAGATTGGAAAAGCTTAGATTTAGAGACATAAAAAGCTCACAATCTGTCATTTTTCATGATTACACTGTACAATTTTAATTGGGTTAGTTTAAAAGCAGTCCTTGTTTCTTTCTATGCTAAGAAACTAAACCTTAACATAGGCAACAGCTATTGTTCTCCTAGAGGCCACATTACTTAGCCTAATAGTTAAGACGCTCCAGAAACCAAATTAGTTCCAGCCACTGTTTTCCTGGATATATTTGTTCACCTAGAAATAGCCTTGAAATTTATTTTTTTCAAACCTTAGTTCAAGATGTTCCTTCTTCCCTGGGTACTGAAAATAATAATTACTCATATTCAGAAGTTTCCCATTTTACAAAAAAATATGTATTTTCTTTCAAGGCATAGTTCAAATGACATCCTCCCCATGAAGCCATCCTTAAATATCACTGTGGGACATGATCTCTCTCTCTTGGACTCCAACAATAGCCAATGCATTTGTAACTGAGAACATGGGGCATTATATGTATGTTGCATCTCTGCTAGCCTTGTAAACTCTAAGCTCCTTCAAACACCCAGCCTTGAGTTCTGAACAGAGAATATTCAAAGATTTATTAAGAGAATGAGGAAATTAATAGTGTCTTGCTTTCATGGTTTTCATTGAAATTACAAACATTTTGGTGGTATTCCATTTTGCATCAAAAGAAACTTCACTGAAAAAATTTAAGATGAAAATTTTTCATTCTATTACTATAAACTTACTGATTACAGTAGACTTTAAACTACATTTTGTTTCTACTTGAGGCACAAGAAAATATATTTTGCTTATTTTCCAGTATGTTACTACTCAAATATTTCTATCATCTGCAATGATATATTTAAAGTAAAAAAAACCCTAGAATTTCATTTCCTCACCCTTCCTTGCCCTTCTAGTAATGGTGCTACCTTAAATTTTTTTGCTATTGTTGTTAATTAAACAGAATAGTCAAAAACTTAAGAAATCTAATAATTTATGATCTAAAGATCTTTATTTCATATGATCAAGAAAATACCACCATTAAACAATATTTCTTTTGTGGTGGAAAAAAAATGCAATGTTTATGACCACATACATAAAAGACCTAATCCAACCTGAATGAAAGGAAGCATTTAAAAAACTGATCTTCAAATAAGAATGGAATTATACAAAACTCCTCAAAAAATCAGGCCTCTTGTCCTTAAAATGGAGAAAAAAAGATACTTACGCATGAAAATCAATTATCTTTCTGAAACTTCTACATAAAACCGTAACTTGAAAAAAACAAGAAGTTGTTGGGTCTGGGAACCTAAAGGACAGATGAGTGAGTAGCCCATCCCCCATGGAGAGCACTATGAGCCCTGCACCCTGAGGAGGAGTTATAAATCTGCATTCCTGCACCCTGAGGAGGAGATACAGGGTCTCATCAATCTGCCATGGAGCTGATAAACAAAATGCTCTCAACATTGTTCCCCCCACTCCCGCAATAAGAGGCAAACAGACCAGCTCATCTAAGAGAGTCCACGTGCAAATACATGGCCAATAGAAAAAACTCACCTAACCACTACCCTAACCCAGAATTAAAATGCCCATAAAAAGCCCCAGCCTTCACCTGAGCAGGGAGCCATCGAGGTTCAGGCTCTGCTGCACTGCTCTATCTGTAGCCTTGCCTTTCTCTCTAATAAATCCTACTTCGTGTACTGACCTTGGCTCACAAGTCAATCAGCTGCCTCATGAGCCAGTTCTCTGGCCTGTGAAGGCAAGGACCCTCAGCACTGGCCCACGTTTCACATCAGCACATAACATTTCTGGCAACCACGAAGGGATAGCTCTCCTGGACCAAGGTCAGTTATGACTTGAGCACCAAACCAGCAGGAGCTTGCCTAAGGTGTGTCCATGAGCCTCAGGCACCCTGCTGGGGGAACCCCCCTCCCAGGACTAGCCAAAAGCAGACTTCCCTGTCCTGCTTCCCGTCTCTCTCTGTTCCTGTCTTCCTGAAGGACTTTCCCATCATGGTATCAAACCAACAGCTCCTAGCCAACTTTGGCCTTGTGGTGATTCTGCCTCTGGGGGTGCTTTCTGCTCCCTCCCTGCAGGCTGAGACTGAGCCCAGGGTTTATTCAGTATGCCTTATACTACATTGGGGGAGACCCGATCTTTGTCTTCTCCCACCCATCAATACCCTCTTCTGCCAGAGGCAATGACCCCAGAGTGGAGATTTTGTATGGCTGATA